CACACTGTCATTCTAGACCACTCATCTGGCATATACACAACACCATACACTGCTCCAAACCCGCTCTTAGTCCAACTCATCCACGCCTGCAATCTCTACATCAACCTCCTGTTGTGCTACCGACCCTCGCTCTTGGGGTAGCGTACACCGATATTGCACCAATCTCTGTCCTGCTTTGTTCCTTACATGTAATTGAATTCTGCACAGGTATTCACTGCCAATGTCTTGCTGACGGTGCGAGGACTGCTTCGCTATCGGAAGACGCGTATATTATCGACGCAGCCTACCTACCACCTTCCCTCGCCTGCTCGTGGACTGCAGCGTCCCTCAAAGCAGCCCTGCGCACTGCCCGGGGAGGCAACGCGCGTTGCCCAACGGGCGGACATACTTCGCGCACTCCACCCCCCTCACGCTCCTCTCGTCTTACCCCACACATCGGGGAGACCTACCCTCGAGCCCTCTGAGCTGACACCCCTACGGCGACTTGCCGGCTGGCTATGGTACGACGTGCAACATGGGACCGTGTACAGACACCACACCCCCTAGAACGCCCAAATCGCTCGCTGCACTCTTTCACATTACCTCTTACAACACTGTCCAATCACCTCATTTCCTTCTCGCACGCAGTCGTCTTCTTCTGGCGCCAACAAAGGGACTGGGTGGAACGAGTTCATCGAATTATTTTCTAGAAATCGAAAAAGGGAACCTGTAATCTATAAAAGATCCCTTAACCCCATACCCACACACATACAGCCACCAGTCTGCCGGCCTGGACCCAACTAAACGGCCGCTCCTCCACCATCGGGGTAACTTGATCAGGTGCTCTTCTTGCTAATTTCACAAATTGCCCTATCGTCCACCCCCTCTCTTCTTCACCTGCAGTGGCAGCTCTTGCGCTCTGCTGCCGCACCCGCGGGTGTCTGTCCATACAACAGGAACGACGGCCCACGGGTTTGCACTGTTATTCTTACGCCGCGCTCCACACCGGAGACACACACGGAGACGAAAAACACCCCCCACCACACAACTTCCGACATCAGCACCGGTCTCTCCGTCCCAACCGGAAATCGGCTCACACGAAACCCGCTGTCCGTCCCACACGCGACGCCCTCCGACCCCCGCTCGGGAGATGCTGTAGTTACATATGCGGGCCTGTAAGTGGCGCTGTACTTCCGCCACAACATAGACCAAAAGCAGTGAAGAAGACCGATGACGATTATTGTTATTATATTATATTAAATTATTATTTTTGCTGATGGTTGTGGTAGAGGAGCTGTAGAGAACGAACGCAACCCTGTGATCCGCCATTGTTGTTGTTGTTGGCGAACGGGGGTGAGCAGGAAAGGTGGGGAGAGGCAGGGCTCTGGCGTCATCGTTTTCATGGAATGATCGTATAGGGCGTACACACAGTCGCAAGCATTACCTACCCACTTTGGGAGCCGTTATCAACAGGGCCGTCCCTCCCTACAGGCAGATCACGCAGACTGCGTGGGGTCCACCTCGGAGCGGAGGGAGCGCTAATTGATAATAAGCGCACCTATTCGCTTATTATTAGTGTGGCGCGGCACGGTTTCGCCGCTGCGAGGCTCCACTAGCACCGCCAACCGCCATTTCACTTCAACATTTAAAAACACATCTTCCCGGGGTTGCATGCCCCCGGACCCCCCTAGAGGAGGTGAGGTCCACCCCCAAATAAAGTAGGTTAAAATAATTAAATTGCATACATTTTCTTTTAGTAAACACTGAAAACGGGTCCCACAGACCCAAACAGCACACAAAGGTTAAAGGTAAGCATATAATAATGTTAAAATGTGCTAAATATATACATTGCAAAAAGAAAAGAAAAGAGGAGTAAAAGTAGCTCACTACTTGTTTTATTTTTTGAAAGTAGCTCTCATCCTAAAAAAAGTTGGAGACCCCTGGTCTATGCGATAGAGAACGTTAGCGGATTCAACTGATATCTGCGTCAAGGGCTCTGTATTCAGCTGCAGGCCATCCTTTCAGATCTGCAGTACGCCTGTTTACATGTCAAGTTAAATGAATCGAGGTAGGGCAGATGTAGCAGACTTTATGACACTAAGTGCTGCCAAAGTGACATTAAGTTATAAAATGCACATATAACTAAAAAGGAAAGCAATGTGCAGTCAAGATAAAGAAAAAATAAACTATAAAACTGGAAGTGCAGTAAAAAATGTATTATAAAACAGACAAGTCAAATCAAGCAATCTGATTGGTTTTTAGCCGTGATATACTGAGCGTATACCACGGGTAGAATTGTAGTTTTCACAACAAGTCAGAACTGCCGAACCACGACCCTTAGCTGTTATATAATGAGCATATACCACGGCCTGTCGTGAGCTATTGCTTAAACATATAACAGCTGAACTGTTTATACTGCCAGGATCAAATTTGTGTTACTAAATCAGTGTACTTCACTGCTGTTTGAAAATAGCATACATACTCATTTATGTTGTTTATTGAATCCTCGTTTCAGAAGTCTGAAATTCCCTTCAACAAAAATAATGAAATGCACATTTTCGTCCAACAAGTCGATACTTAAGATACCCTCTGTTTACTGTAACTGTGGTATACACAAGGCAGCTTTGTTCCTACATAAAAATAACCAGAGGCAGAGTATGTTGCTGTAATTCATCTGATTACTAATGAACTAGTGCATGTCCACAGACCTCCACAAGGTGGTGTGCTTTTTCTACTTTCTGTACTTTCTGTAATTGCTTAAATACCTCAAATAATATCTAAAGCACACAAGGGACTCTTAGATTACCCTCATGGGAAATATTAAGATCATTTTCTTTATTCACCATTACAAAAAGCACACCATCAGCTACTCCATTGTTAAGCAAAGACCTGCATTTATAAATGTGACTAAATAACATAACTGTTGAAGAAGAAATGAAAAATACCAAATGCTAAATGATCCTATATAGTCATTATAGCTGTTCAGATCAAAGTAGAGGAGTAAAAGGTACAATATGTCTTCTGAGATATAGTGGAGTAGAAGTATAAAGCTTATTTGAAAGATAACACTCACATGAAGTCGACACAATGTTGTACTCAATTCAGTCATAATTAAACCATACAGTACTAGGTCAAATAAATAAACTATCAAAGCTATAAAAATCAAAAACCTTATTTTCTTTTAATACTAACTTCTTAGCTGCAAATGGTGTCAACAGACAAAGGGACAACACTTTTATAAAATGTGGCCATATAGTAAACATCAACACAGGTTCTCCTCTGCTTTACAGGTAATTCCACTTCGGAGTAGAAATGTTTCACTAAAGACCAACATTTTCTTGTACTGGCAGATCCCAGCCACCAGAGGGCAGGAGGAAACCTGCGTTATTTTGAGGGCTTGCTTACCAAGCAGCTCAGAGAGCTGAACCAGGAGGACTACCCGCCGCCCTCTGAGGAGCCCATCCAGCTGGGAACCTACACCAGACCCAAAGACCACCTCCCAGAGAGAGACGTCTACGAAGCTCTCTGCAGAGGAGAGGGGCTCGGAATGGTGAGACATAAGGACAAAAAAAAAGGCTCATTGATAAACAATCTATAATAAAAAGAGGAAGTCAAAATGACTAGATCTCTACCTACTTTTCTGAGGTGTACATTTGAAGTGAGCAAATACCTATTTTGACATTAGATTAGAGCTTCAACAACAAATAAAGGAATTGAAGTAATATACAAGAGCAATGTTAAGAAACCTGCAGTAAAGTGACAGTTATAACAGCAAGCTTGCAATTGCTGCAGGCATAAACACCCCTTTCACAAAGACGGATTCTATGGTTGTCGAGCAATTCTGGGAAGAAAAGGCTGATAAAACCCATTTACAGCTATGATCGATGTGGCGTGTTTATAGCAAAATGTTCCACTTAAGCTAATACAAGCTCTGTTCTGCTCTGCTCTGACGTTTTACTGGGAAATCTTTGAGGTTACCAAGTATACAGGACAAGGATTTATTTTCCATACAAGCAAAATGTTGATAAAAACCTGTATGTGGGCACCTGAAGTGAGCAAAGGCTTCCAAGGTCAATCCTTTCCATGTGAAATTAGATTCCAGCAGCAGTGTGGCAGACATTTCAAATCTGATTTCACTTCTCCTAAATAAATCCTTTCTTCATAATGTTTCTGTTTATCTTATATGTTTGACCAGAATAACGTGAGGCGCAGCCGCTTGTACTGTCGCTACCAGGATAGAAACAGGAACCCTCGTCTCCTGCTGAAGCCCATAAAAGAGGAGGATGAGTGGGACAGCCCCCGCATCGTACGCTACCTGGACGTCCTGTCACACGAGGAGACTGAGAGGATTAAGCAGCTGGCCAAACCCAGGGTGAGACAAGAAGCAATACATTAATGATAATACATCTAAGCATTCTGCACTCAACCCAGGACATAACACTAAATCCTGTACAGTGACCTAAGTACTTTTAAAATACCAACGTTTTCATGATATTTATGACCTAATTCAGAACAAAAAAAATCCTAAAGCCATGAGCTTGTCAGGTGATGAAGTGCAGCTTCTTTGTTCAAAGATAAGTTGTACAAAGCAATAGTTTTTACATTTGGAATGTATAAAAGGGTGTTAATTTAGAGAAAAGCGTCTGAATCAACAACATGTTGGTATAGATTTACCAACATGTTGATAAATTGAATAAGTGGGCACACTCTGCGTACTGTTTATGATAAACATAATCATCAATAATTGTATATCTGTGTGTTGTTTTTGCTTCATAAGCTTGCCAGAGCTACTGTCCGTGACCCCAAAACAGGCGTCCTGACCACAGCCAACTACAGAGTGTCCAAAAGGTAAAAGGTTTTTGGAGGCACTTTTGAGGATTACAAGCATGAAAGGGCTGACTGTTAACCGGTTTTCTTTTATTTAGTATTGATACTATTTGCTGTGTAATTCAGGTTATTCAGGGGTTCAGCCTTTGCCTTTTTATGCAAACTACATTCTCATTCTGCTGTGAAACCTGTGTTTATTCTTTGATTCCAGTCAATCTGTGGCTATAACTCTGTCAGTAATAATTATAGGGAATGTGTCACACCTGTGGGTGCGACGTGTCTGCGATACAGTACCAGTCAAAAATGTGGACACACCTTTTCATTCAATGGTTTTTGTTTATTTGAATTTGTTTCCACTTTGTAGATTAATACTGAAGACATAAAAACTATGAAAGAACACATATGGAATATTCTAGTTAAGAAAAAAGTGTTAAAAAATCCAGAATATGATTTATATTTAGTGAAGCTGACTGAGAGAAGCCAAGAGTGTGCAAAGCTGTCCTCAAGGCAAAAGGGGGCTAGTTTGAAGAATCTAAAATATAAAACATATTCTGGATTGTTCATCACTTTTTTGTTTACTAGATAATTCCATATGTGTTCTTTTATAGTTTTGATGTCTTCAGTACTTCAAATAAATAAAAACCTTCGAATGAGAAGGTGTGTCCAAACTTTTGACTGGTACTGTATGTCACACACACACACACACACACACACACACACACACACACACACACACACACACACACACACACACACACACTATCCCTCTGTCGCTCCTTCTGGTCAGTTAGAGCTTGTGGTTGTCGGTTATTGAGCTGCTTTTCACTCGGCCACCCCTTGGTGTGCTGTGAGTTTATTTACCTTGCTTGCAGTGATGAAAGTGCAGTGTTTCCAACAGATGTGAAATATACTTGGGGGGGTGGTGGTATTGGGGGGTG